TAGGGGTTGGACCTGTTTAAAAAAACCTTACCCGGATTAACTGCGGTTAAACAACTTGATTATTCGGGTATATCCGGATTACCCAGATTACCCGGGTATATATATTACAACCATAAATTTTGTGTCAAATGATAAAAATTAGCTGATAATTATTTGGCTGAATTCGATAAATTTTTGATTCTGTGTTAAGACCTTGAGTGCATACGCTTTAATCTGAGCATATATGTAATACATTAAACCTTATGAAGTACATAATATGCCTAATACTACAAAGGTAAGATGGCTATGATAGTATAATTATAGAAGGTAATTACTTAAAGAATTAAACAAATATGGAAATGAGGAGACACAGATATTCATTATAGTATTAATATCATACAAGTATCAATCTTGATGTACAATATCTTGTATATTTTAATGGTGCAAAATTTAGCTTTATATATTTAAAGAAAGTGATAAGTTATACTGGGTCAAATGCTCAAATAGATGTCAATTAATATCAGGTAATTTTTTTTATCAGTTGTTGCATAATTTGAAAAAGCTATAAGCACATATGTATTAAACAGATTACTCCAGTTTTAATATCAAATTCATTATTCTGATTTAGCAGTTAATAGACTAAATACCATTATACACTACATTTGAAAAAAAATTTAGAATTATCGATTAATAACTTTATTTGAACTAAAGGCATAAATTATTCAAGTATTATCTTGCAGTATCTATATATAACTCGAGATTGGAAAAAATCAGTTCGCTGTTAGCAGATCTAAATCATATGAATCTATAAGCTTAAATGGTTGCTTGTTTAAGTAAATAGATAAAATGCGTAAATACTCTTTTAAACAAATTATTGTATTCACTTAAAGGTAGTTAGCTATATTCACATCTGATCTTTTTTCTTAGCAAAGTTTTCAATAGCTGCAAAAACTTTAATATTATAATCTATCTACTTTGCGCATGTGAAAATCTAGCTATTACTATGAATTGCTAATTTAATTTATTATATGAATGCATACTTTTATGTCTAATAAATATGTATAGTTTACCTTCAAAAAGTTAATGTTAGTTGATTAATAACTTTTTTTTTAAATTCAACGCCCATCTATAAATTACTTTTCTAGTTTATTAAGTAACATAAAAATCAGAATCTGTTCGTAAAGCTGTATTTCTACTAATAATACAATATATACTAGTTATACCTATATATGGGGGTCCCCACAGCAAAAGGTGGCTATGGGCCAAAAAATTTTTTTCTGTAGTTTTTTAATATTGTGTTCTAAATGATCTAATTTTTGCAAAAATAAAATTTTTACAAAAAAAATTTTTTTAGCCCATAGCTACCTTTTGCTGTGGGGCCTCCTATATATATTTAATAAATTTGTTCAAAATTTTGTTAGCAATTTTTTTGCTTATCCTATCTCTATGGAATCTGATAATAAAAATAATCTTGATAATGTTACCAATTCCGAGTTTGAAAATAATCTATCAAGTTCATCAAGCGAAAAATTACTCGATTCTTCTGAAAATAAACTACAGTCTAAGAAAGTAAAAACCAGCTTCGATTCTTTTGAAAATAACCAAAAAGATAGTTATGTATGGTTATATTTTTAGCTTAGAAATCAAAAAACAACATGTAAAATTCTTATTCCATCTAAAGAAAAGAAGGTAGAGTGTGGAGCTACTTACAAATATGATGGTGAAACAGGTAATATGCAATATCATCTTTGAGTTAGGCATAATATTTATTCTCCAAACCAATTAGATAACTTAAAAAATAAGAATCTTTAAAAATTACTGATATGCTATCAAATGTACAACCTCACAAAGCACCAAAACAAGCAGAGCTTTGTAATATTACAGTTGAATAGTTAATTACAGATTTGCTTCCTCTAAATACTATTCATAAAAAAGAATATCATAAAATGATACAAAAATTTGATCCTGCATTCAAAATTCCTAGTAATAAATCAATAAAAATGATAATTGGAAAAGCATATTAAATAGGCATAGAACAATTAAAAAAACTAATTCAAACTACCTGTAAAACTGCAGCACTTACAACAGATTTATGGACTGCTCGAAGTCAAGATAGTTATATAGGCATGACATTGTATTGGTTAACTTCTGATTTTGAAATACGTGATATAGTTTTGGCTGTAGAAAAGTTCGAATATCCACATACTGGTGAACGCATTAACCAATATTTGAAATCAAAAATCAAAGAATTTGATCTTAGTAGTAAAATTATCTGTGTAATAACAGATAATGGTAGTAATATGAAAAAGGCTATTAGGCTTTGGGATAGAGTAGAGCGTCTTGCTTGTTCTGCTCATACTTTACAATTAACAGTTTTTCAAGCGCTTAAAAAAATTGACCCATATATAAATCGAATTCAAAAATTAATTAAATTTTTTCGTTCTCCAAAACATAGTGAATATTTAGACCAAGCTCAAATTGATCTTGCCTATTGTAATAAAGAATCATCTACTCTTCTTCATTTTGATGATTCTAATTTATTACCTGAAATTGAAGATCTTGAAAATGACAATGTAATTTTAGATATTCAATCTGAAATAAAAATTTTATGTACAATTAATGACACTAGAACTAGGTAGAATTCGAGTTATAAATCTTGGCAATGACTTTTAGAATTACGACCAGCTATCGAATAGCTTAATGCAACCTTATATCTTCAAACTAACATTGGTGCCAGAGAGGATACTAGAATATTAAATGAATATATGCTTCAAGACTATGAATGGGAATTATGTGAACGTTTAGTTCAATTATTTCAACTATTTGAAGAATTGACAATATATTTTAGTGGAATACAATATGTTACACTTTCAATTGTAAATCCTAGCATCGAAGCATTAAAATATGAATATTCAAATGGATTACTGTCTAGTGAAGAATTAGAATCATTTGAAGAACCTATCTATGATAAGAGTATAACTTCTGATAATAAAAATTCAAGCTTAATTGAGAATAATTTTGATAATTCATTATTAGTTGACTCGATTATTAAAAATATAGAAAATGTAATTTATAATTCGCTTTGGTATTATTGGTCAGATTCAGAACAAATTGGTCGATTAGCAACATTATTAGATCCCTGTCTTAAAGCTATGGAAGCATGGTCACAATCTACACGTGATGAAACAATTGAACAACTTCAAAGTGAATTTAAAATTTGGGAAAATACTATTATACCAAATGAATTTGAAGATTCTCAAACTGTCTCTATACCAAATTTTTTAAAAAAGGTTTTTTCTCAAACAGAATCTCTAGTTAATCATGAAGTTGAAATTCAAAGTTATTTAAATCCGATGATTACTCCAATTCCACCATATAATGAAAATGTTTATCTTTGGTAGCAGTTACACAAAAATACCTTTCCTATATTAAGTCAAATAGCAAGAAAATATCTTGCAATCCCGGCAATATCAGTTCCGTGTGAAAGGTTATTCTCTGACGCAGGAAATATAATTACTTCCCAAAGAACATCTCTGGCTCCAGATATTATTAATCATTTATTATTTGTTAGAAAAAATAACTCATATTGTGATATTTTTTTATAAACATTAAATATTCTTTTTTTATTATGTGTATCAATAGCTTAGAAAAATTGTTGCTCAATTTTCTAAAAATTATTTCTCTTATAAACCACTTACCCAATATCACATAGAGTTAGGATTGGTTGCAAGTATATATCTTTAGTAAGTTGTTACACTATGTGTTATCGATTAGAGGAAATAACTCTTAGGGAATTGTACTGTAACTCTTTTATCCAGTGTAATAATTATAGCATACTATCTTGTTAGCTTTGATAGTAAAAGTGTTCAGTCATACAATATAAAATAAAAGATCTGATTATAAGTGTATAGAAATTAGTTAAGCAGTACAATTGACAGGTGTATA